ACTACTTCATGCACCTCATCCCTTGGGCTCTTATGCTAATTATCAGGCAAAGTACAAGCACTTTTCCTAGCAAGGGACTTTTGGAATAATTTGTTTCTAGGAAATAATACAGCCCTGAAACACAGCCTTTAAATAATTCAATTTTTTTCCTAATCATAGGTTGTTGCACCTTAATTACTTGAAAGGATGTTGCTGCCTGAGAGAGCTCTGGATTATAAGCGTCTACCATAATATTTTTAGGCACCATGATTTCCACTAATTGGTGCCTCTCTTCTTCATCCTTAAAGCAGACATTTCATGATGAAATGAGGATATATTTTCTATAAAGATTTTTAAAACTCACTTGTAATGTGACATATAGAATTAACTAGTTTAAAAATTGGATTGCTTTTAATTTATTAGCATGGCTCCAATAAGACAATAAAGAAGTGCTTTTTAAAATATATTTTTGTATTTAAAAATAACTTTCAGATACTTGAAGGTCATTAGCAAAATGAATGGTGAATTAGGAATGTGGATTATACTTTCAAAATAACAAAGACACAAGAGAATCATTTTATAAATGGTACAGAATTCCATTTTTACCAAATAATGAAGTAGCCAGTTGTATAATTCCTAGGGGAATAAAAATGACCTTCTCTGGAAATTCCTACTATCTACTATGGATGCTACAGGAATGATTATGACTAACTTATTCTGGGGCTCTGAAATTTGGGAAATGCGTTCCATGTAGTTACAGGTTATTGTGGAAGTTCTGCGTCCCCAAGTAATCTACTTCCTCAGATCGGCCAAGTCAGAAAGTTACTTCCCTTCTTTCTGGCATCTATAGCAGAAGTCTCTCTCTTCCTCTCTCTCTCTCTCTCTCTCTCTCTCTCAGAGACTAATTCTAGATAAAGTGCTGTAAGAGATTGAAAAACAGTGTTGGTATAAGTCAAGTACAAAAAGGAATTAAAGGATACAACTGAACTGAGCCAAGAAATTGGTAAAACATGTTTTAGATGAGAAAAACAACCTGATTATAAACCTTTCTTTGTCTTTCACATGGTCGATTTTCTTAATCTTTGTTTGTCTTTTTTTGGGTCCACATTTGGTATTACTTCCTGCCACTTTTTTCTTTCTTGCAATGTGGTTTATGTATGAAAACAGGCCTGGGGTCATCTCATCGGGACATGCCTTCACTTCCATTGGAAAAAGAGCATTAGGAAAAAAAAATTCTCACACTAAAGCTAATTAGTCAACTAATCTCTGGTATTATAAAGGTTTCTTTTCTTGGATTCCTTTCTCAGTGTTTTTTTCATCAGAATGGTAAGGTTTTGAAGTAAGGATTAAAGGATAGGCTTAGAGAAAAGGGGCCAAAGGAGTCAATCTCTTTAGTTTAGACCTTAGACATAGGTTCAAAATGTCTCTGTTCATGTATGCTTCAATCCAGCTTCACAGTAGGAGCACATTCAAGTGACTCGATGTTAGAGCTCTGTATTAATAAAGCCAAAGTATTTTCTTGTGTGGCTATGTATGTTTTTCTTCCTTAGTAATCTGCAACAAAAGGGTTAGTCAATTCTTCAAGGACTTGAGGACTTCCAGATCCTTGTTATCTGTATCTTTTACCATCAGACCCTTATCTGACCCCTTATCTGGTACAGTAAAAATAATTTCCTGCTTAGTTGGAAAATGATAAAGTGTGGGTCCCCTTATTTTCCAAAAGATTTGTCAATAAATTTATCTGGGAGCAAACGTATGTAACTTGGTATGCAATAACAACAAGACCCCTAACAATAAGCAGTGTCATTTCCAAGATGCCCTTCCTTGACTTGTCCATCCTTGCCATTGAGAGCAGCAAAACATCCTGACCTTTGAAAGCAACTAATAGTGTTGTGATGATACTTTTTAGGGTAGAGATAGGGATATGGGCCTAAATTAGGATAACAAGACCAAAGATCTTTTTCTTATTAAGTCTTTTTTTGGCCAGAGGTTCAAAAGACATACTAATGACCACATGTGATCTAGCCTAAATCATCAGCCTAGATGACTAATTGAGGATTTGGAGGTTGTAAATTTTGGACAGATTTGCTAATAAAAGGCCTAGTGGCTTACTACAAAGCTTTAGATCTGAGCCACTAGAAGTTTGGAGTTGGCATGAAAGGAGATAAGAAAGGCTATAAAGATCAGTTTGATGTAGGAAAGATCAGGAGTTAGTTTGAACATGATATGTTTAAAATCTCCACTGCATATAGGAGTAGAGATGTGAAATTAGCAGTTCGGTACATAAGTGGGGAGGGGGCTTTGAAGAAATAGTCTATGCTGGAGAAATAATTCTGAGAGTTATTATCACATAAATGGTACTTAAAAGAGCAGATGCCCAAGGACCAATCTATGAGATACTGGAATATGAAGAGGTGAAGGAGATGAGGTGATCCAACAAAAGAGACAGAAGTAAGTGAAATGGATGAAAGGGTTTTTAGGAGGACAGATTGAGGAGCATTGTCAAATGTTGCTGAGGGGCCATGTTACTTTGAGGACTGCAAAGTAACCACTGGATTTACTAAAGTGGAAGTCATTAGAGAAGAGTTTTTACAGACCATTTTGAGCAATAACCTGATTTCACTATTTATGTAGGAAAATGTTTAAATTTCCCTTACACTTATATTTTCCTACATGAAAAAGCAAGAATTAAATCAGTGATTTATGATCTTGCCTATAAATATGAAAGCATATCAATGGAATACTTTTATCAACCAAATGCTTTGACTTCATGTAAGAATGGTCCATAAAACACAGTGATCTATTATAAGAATAAAAGATAGCACAACTCTTAGAATGTGTCTGCGATGTCATAATTAGTAGCTGAAATATTTTTAGAAGTCAGTTTGCTTTTTAAAAGTCAGATGGTTTTGATGTGTTCCCCAAAGACTTATAGGTTAAAGGATTGATTGGCATCCTGTGATTATATTGGGAGGTGGTAGAACCTTTTTCCATTTTATTTATTTATTTATTTATTGTGGTGGGGAGGGAACTCAGGGCCTCACATATGCTAGGCATGTACTCTACCACTGAGCTGCACTCCAATTCTGTAAGCTTTAAGAAGTGGAACCTAGTGGTAGGAAGTTAGGTCATTGGAGGGGTGTCCTTGAAGGAGATATTAGGACCCTGGTCCTTTGTCTCTCTTTGCTTCCTGACCACCATGAAGTGAATAACCTCCTCTGCTATGTTGTCCCACTATGATTTACTGGTTTGCTACAGGCTTAAAAGCAACAAGAGAATCAATTATGAACTGGAACCTCTGAGACCATGAACTAAACTAAACCTTTCCCTTTTTAAAATTTACTATCTCAGGTATTTTGTCACAGTGACAAAAAGCTGACAACACACCAGTCAACAAATAGATTTCTTTATTTTCATGGTGCAAAATACCTTTCTAAGCCGGGCATGCTGGTGCGCAAGTGCAATTCCAGCACTCTGGAGGCCGAGGCAGGAAGATTGCCTTGAGTTTAAGGCTAGCCTGGGCTACATAGCAAGACCCTATCTCAAAAGGAAAAAAAAAACCCTTTAAAACTATTTATTCCTGAATTTATTGATGAACTTTCCTGCTATTATGCTGATTAAGCCTAAGTGAATGTAGGTACACTCATATAGTTCATGAACATATGTACACTCATGAGTTCAGAAAGATAAAGTATCTTTTTACACTAAGGAGGATATTTTGAAACTTTATAACTGCTTTAATTGAACTAGAGATTTTATTTCCATGTTAAAAAAAGAAGTCCTTCAAAGCAAGCCAGAGTATAATTCTGAGCAACACAATAAAGCCTTCTGCACTATAAATCTGGTAGATTGTCTCTAACACAGTTTAAAAGAATATGATTAGTGATGTAAGCATCAGTGTAGTGTAGCAATTTAAGTTTATACTAATCCTTACATTCACATACTTGGCCTGCTATCTGTACTGGAGCAATAGTACCTCTCCATTGCTGCCAAGGGTACATGTCTGGATGCCCACACATGTGCTACCCCGAAATGCAGAGAGGTTAATATCACAGGAGGAAGGAATTTGACTAATGAGATGGGAGCTAGCCAATGAATTGTTCCTCCTTTCTTCCCTAGGTGGGTTGTATAGAGATATAGTGGTTTCATATGGTCTGTCGCAAGAGACTGAGAAATTAGCTTGCCATGAAGCAGATTGTAACCAACTCAGACTCAGTGATACACCTCCACATTCATTCTCCTTCTTTCCCTGGATTGTACATTAACTTTGGATTCAGGCTAAGACATCTAGGTATGGAAATGAAGAACTCTGGAATAAAGTCAGAATTGCACTAACACTCAGATTGTAATGGCACCATCTTGGGAAGTAAGACATCTAATATATGTCTACAATTATTGCTTAATTCCTAATAAAGGAACACATCTATTTCAACTCCCAGGCCACAGGTACAGTAGAGTTAGGGAAAAGACTATTTACCATTTGAAGCTTTTTACTCCAAAATGATTTATAATGTGCTAAAATTTCTATATGTGAACCTAGAATATGGACTTTGGAGTCAGACAACTAAGGTTCAAACCTTCACTCTACAATTTATAATTGCTACCTTTGGAAAGCTGCTTAACCTCTCTGTGCTTCAATTTTCTCATCTGTAAGACAGGGAAGGAAATAGTAACTACATTGTGAGGACTGAATGAGATTAATATAGGCAATATGCTAAAAGTAGTGCTTAACACATAGAAAGCACTATGCAAATGTTCACTATATTTCTTCTAGCTATTGTATTGTGATGAGAGAAGATGGGCTGGAACCCAAGGGAAACTCTTGGCTAATGTCATATGAAATGTATTAAGGACTGATATGTAGAAAGCAGTAGAGTTAGGGGGTAACAGATGACTTAACTGCAAGAAAATGCCAAGCAGGAAATACCCTCTAAATATTTCTGTTTCTATAGTACATGACACAAAGTAGAAAAATAATGAAAACAGAGCCACTCAGCAGGATTTAGAGTTCTTTTGTATATATTTTAAATATACATGTGCAATACATTAAAATATATAGATGTGTGAATATATATTTACATATATATATGAAATCACAGAGGGGATACATAAGCACACTCATTCACACGTCCATGCGCATACCCCAACAGGACCCATCTATACGTAAACCAGATGCAGTCCATATCAGGCCAACTTGGACACAAGTGAAAGCCCTGACTCAGCAGCAGATTGCAAATCACAATTGCACTCAAGCAACCCTTCAGTTTCTTCTACCAAGTGTCAGACCATTTAGAAATACACCGAGAAGAGCTCCTCCAGGTGTATGAAAGAGCCCAGGCTCCCTCTGACAGTGCACAGTTTGCCTGAGTAAGGACTGCAAGATTGGAATATCAAGGAGTTATCAAGAAAGAAGGACTTATTTTGGGTCCTGAAACTAATAAGCAACATCCATATAATAACTTTAACTCCAGAACAATACATTAGTGTCAGAGAATCTTTAGATAGCTGAGTTCTAAGCAAATTTCAGCCAGAAGCAGAGAGAAGTGTATGTTGCTACTCATCACCATTCAGCTTGACCCAGAGGACTAAGCACAATTTTTAGGGGTAGATAGGTTTAAGGTATAATCAGGCAGACTTGTAAGACAAAAACAAGGTACTTAAAACTGAAGAATCTAAAAGCAACAGAAGAGGTTACAGGTATTGGTTTGGGTTTATAAATGTTCTAAGAAGCCTAATCTTATATATGGCACCATTTGCAGCAATATCGTTAATATTAACAATAATCATCATAACATCATCATATTTATATATACAAAAATAGAGCAAAGCAATTCTAGAAGAGGAAGTGTAAGTGAAGATGTGGGGTTGTGTGCAAGCCAAATGTCAATACACTTCAGAAAGCTTCAGAACCAATAAAGATTTAGTGGCACATATTTATGTAGCATATATCCAGCAAAGGGACATGGATCTCCCTCCTTCTTCCCCTTGTGTATGACTATACACTTTTTCTCACCTCTCAACCCTACAACACACATCCATGCACACTTTAAAAGAGACAACATATAAAGTTAGAGTCTGGAAGCCTTAAACTAAGTTGGAGCACGTTGATTTCAAGCAAGTGCCCTCAATCTCCTTGGTGAATTTAGGATTTACACAGGAAAACTATATAATTCTCATGTCTTTTAGTAGCAGTCTTTAGGAGTCTACCATTACCACTGCAGCCTTTTCCCATTGAAAGGGCTTTGCAGCACAGGCTCTCTGTATTTTTAAAGAGAGAAGTCACTTCTCTATGTTATACATCTTTCATCTCAGTTTTTCACTGTTGCTGAAATCTAGGTTCTCAGGCAGCTGCCATTGCAGACAAAGCCAGGAGCAAGCACAGTGTGTGCAGCAAAGAGTAGATGCAATGGCGAAGATACAGCTTGGTTAGGGTGTCTTTTCCACACTTGAGCTTCTACAAGGTGACTGAGCCAAAGGTGATATCCACTGGGGGCAGCCTCAATACCTGATAGTTAATTAGCTACCCACCATGCACTGCAGAAAGACCGCCACAGTAACTTGGCATGGTTCCTGAAAACTAATTGGAAGGGAATGGCTTTCTGTCATTGTTAATAAGAGTCCTAGGAAAAAGCCCCATTACTCAATGTGGTGCAGGGGAGAAAATATTGAACTAAGTCAGAAGGCCTGTCTTCTAGTCTCAATTCTACCATTAATTCAGAGTGGCTTTGGGCAAGTCTCTTCCTATGTCCAGGCCTCAGTTTTCCCATCTGTAAAATAAGGACAATGAACTAGATTAACAGTTAAGATTCCTTCCAGCTCTAAAGTTTTATGACTTTTTATGTCCATTATTAAACCCTGAGCCATGCAGTCTCAGGGCAGTTAGCTTCTAAGAGAGAACATACCTCTGGAATATCCTTCGCTTTGTTCATTTAGCTATAAAGCACGTCTGCCTTTGGCACTTGGGTCAGACATACAAAGTTATGAGCATCCTGATTTACTATCCTACTCAGCATGCTAGTGGAATCTGTCAGTACTATATGTTGATTATTGGGAAAGAGAAAAATTCCAACTAATTAAATCTGGAAATGTAAGGTAACTCAACCTCATATGCTCACATACAGGGAAGTGTGGTCGTGAATGCACACACACATATCGGGATACAGACTATTGCTAGTGATCAGTCAGTTACGGTAATCCATTTCCCTTAATAAAAATTAGAAAATAGTATAGCATAGCAAAGTTTGGCATCTAAGGAAACACCTATGGAAAAAACAGCACTTTTGGACATGTTAGAGAGAAAGGACAAGTAGAGAGACACAAATATAGATCAAAAGATAAAAACACAGGCAAAGAGAGGATTAATCTAAAAGACAAGGAAGAGTAGAAAGGAAAGAAGAGAGAAAAGAGTAAAAGTAAAAATAGAGAAGCTGAGAATGAAGAGGGAAGGAAAATAGAACAGGATAACAAAAGAAGAGAAAGAGAGAGAAAAAGACAAAAGGAATAGCGAAAAGAAGAGGAGTAAACAGGGAGAGGAGGTCATATTCATATTCCCTGGAAGGCTGAACACTGTTCCACATGTACCTGTGAAAGCTGTCTTAGAAGAAAGCTTCCAAAGGCGCCGTGGAAAGCAGAGTGACAATCAGAGCCCGCACTGAGAGGCATTGCACTAAACCTCCACATTGCTGGCTCTGTCAGTCCTCAGTGTCCAAACCTCATGCCCATACACAGTATCACCTGAATTTGCCAGGACAGCCATAAGGGCTGAGCTGGTGGGGTAAAAAGGTGGAAGAGGAATGGAATAGATACTGTGAAAAAGAACAAGGCATCCTGCACCCAGATGTACTTTGCCATTCCCCTGACGCTGCAGGAACAAAAGAGGTGAGGCCCTAACTTTGGCTCATTTATCACTCCTCCCCCTCTCCAAAGATGAGGCCAATGCTTTCTTTACTGGTGGGGAGCAGAAGGAGAAAGCTCTGGATCCATCTTGTGGGAAGGTCATACAGACTTTTCCTGGGCCTTGGGGAAGGGTGCACTACCAGTAGAGATTTTTCTGCACACAGTGTTGGTGTGCCTCTTACAGCGGCAGCCTGGTCGCCGGAGGCTATCATAGCCCTTCTGGCACAGATAGAGGCATCCACGGGTAGGCAGGTAGCAGCACAGGCAGGGTAAGAAGAGGGAGATCAGGCTCATGGCTGCCCAGCGGACGAAGCAAGAGCTAGGCCCACAGGAGCAAGGCTCATCAGCGCAGTTGTCTTCATCATCGGTGGAGCAGTGGTAGAAGAGGCCCTTGACACAGCAGAGGCAAGTGCCATAATCGAGGAGGCTCTCAGCAGAGCAAAGGCAACGCTGGTTGCAGAGCCAGCAGGAGGGGAGAGGGCGAGCTGCTGTGCAGGGGACACACTTGCAGCGCCCACACTCCTCGCAGATGAAGAGGTGCTCACTGGAGTGCCCTGCAGATTGCTCAGCTTCTCCCTTCAGAGCACCATCAGCCTTTGAGTGGGCCCCTGCTCCAGGCTGGGTTCGGATGATGGACTGGCCTGAAGGTGATGGCGTAATGCTGGCCAAGAGCCTTTGATCAGAGGCAGTGGTGCTATGGGACATGGAGCTGGCAATGCTAGATTGGCTCAGATGCTGAGGCAAGGGCTGCAATTGATGGCACTGGCTGAGACTGCGGGGGAGAGCAGTAGGCATGGTAGCCAGGGACCAATCAGATTTGTGGGTTTGCACAATAAGGGAAGGACTAGAGAGGGCCGGTTTACAGGGGGCTGGAGGCCGTTCCACATAATCATTGCTAGCATGAGTAGAGCGCAGCTGTTCAATAGGCAGAATTTGTTGGAAATCATCTATCACTGTGGCATCCATTTTGCCTTGATTTTTGAGCGCTGAGTGGTTTTGGGTCAGAGTGGCACTTATGGTGATAGAGAGGAGCCCTTGTAGTTACATGGACCTCAGGGCACATCAGAAAATCCTAGGAGAGAAGGAATAGAAACAATAAATGAGAACACATAACATAAGTGCTTTTCAGGGAACCAACAAAGGTTAGGTCCTGTTACTACCACTGCCTTTAATTACTTTATAGTAGCATCCATGCTGTATCTAGCATGTAGAATTCATGCTGTATTCATGCTTATTTTATAATTGACTCTATCTACCTCTTTATAGACAAGTCTGGTCATCCCATCCAGGTTATAAAGCAGTTTGGGAGCAAAAATTAAATCAGTGATTCTTTCTATATTCCATCATATGAGTAGGTTCACAGAAAGGGCTAGCTCATTCTGGGTTTTGGTAAGAGAAAAATATAAACCTTGAGCATCAGAATTCTAATAAAAATGGAAGCAAATGTTACATGCAAAAAGCACTTCCTAAAACACTCCCAAAGTAAAAGAGAACACCTCAAAATTCTCCCATGAGAAATTGCTCATATATGTATGTGTATGTGTGTATACAATAAAAAAATTCTCATTTCAGTGAAATTTATGACAAGTAGAATGCACAAATGAGAAAAGATATTGCTTGATTCAATGCATGTAGGCGTGCAAGCAATATACAATGATGACAAAGTTATGGCAGAGACACAGAGGCAGGAATTAGGCTATCAGTAGAGTAATAGGAAAAACACCTTCTCAAGAGTAAAGGAAGCCAATACTCTATCATTTTGCAGTTCCCTTCACCTTACAACTGCTTTAATTTATTGGGGAGACAATTCTTTTTAAATGACACAGTGGCTCCAAAGTCAAAATTCTTTTTAGACACAGGAGCAACACTGGTGTTGGAACTATAGAGACCTGTAGAAAGCAAGTCCTGAATTATTCCAATTATCTCCTGTAGTTGTACTTATTACCCCCCTCGTCAACTCCATAATGATTATATTTACCTAGAAGATTCTGCTTGAGGTGTTTTCTTTAACTTTACCTTACACAAAAAAACCTGAATTTCATAAAGAATAGCAATATTCTTATGCTATATTTCAGCTTAGTTGAATATCTAGAAAGCATATGTTCACATGTCCATTATACTCCAAAGAGCTGGGTAGTCATTCTCTCAAGGAATCTGATCAAACCTAGAAATCATAATACTGACCAAAAGGAAAGTGTTGTACAAATAGTAGATTGCGGCTGGGGATGCAGCTTAGTGGTAGAGTACACGCTTACCATCCCCAGTATCACAAAAACAGAAACAAATTATAGACTTTTGTATCATACCACCTAGAAGATTGAACAGCAAAAAGTGCACACCTAGGGCCTGGGATTTAGCTCAGTGGTTCTGCTGCCTGCCCCACAAGCACAAGAACCTGGGTTCGATCCCGGTACAAAAAAAAAAAAAAAAGTGCGCACCTAGACACAAATCCAAGAGACAACATGAAAGTATCAGGACTTAGGAAACAATAGCATGAATAAAGCATATATTTAAAATCTATCAGATTTTAGACTTTCTTGAAATAGTTCAATTACTCATACTAATATGGAATGGATAGATTGAATGTGTAATATAAATGAATGAGAGAGAAAATAGTGCCTAATTAGGTTTCCCTAAGCAAGCAAACATGACACTGCAAAGGGTCCAACTCAATAATAAGAAAAATAATGATATAGTTCATAAAGGGCTCTGGTTAATAATGACCAGATTTAGGTAACTTTTGAAGCTATATCCCCATGGAAACCTGATTAGCTAAGTATACACCAGTTAATTTTTGACAAGATTTAATTTGGTTAACAATAACATATTTGGCACATCTCATCAAAGAATCAGTGTGACAAAAATTTCACTTAGCTCGTTGTTTTGGTGTGAAATAAATTCAGCACAAAACAATGCAGATAAACACTATGGAGACTCCAAGAGTCAACTATCTATGTTACCTTTGTCAAATCTTGTCAAATTGCTTGCTTTTGTGGGGCCTTATTTTTATTTTTATATAATTATAGGAGTGGACCAGGTGATCCCCAAGGTGCTTGCCCTATCATGGTCTGTATTTCTATAACTATGCAATTTGATAAAAGAATTCTTTTCATCCATACCTTTTACATCTTCAAGTCCTTGAGGGTAAGTTGGGCAATGTGTACTTGGGTTTTAGGGGAATTCAAAATCAAAAATATGTCTCCTTCATTTATTTGCACTCAATGTCCCCTGCTAACCCACCCCTACCTTTTCTGTATCATTATAGATCCAGCGCTGGAAAGGAACAGACAGTTTTCATTTGGACATCCAAATAAATAAGGACACATTGTTCAGCTGGCTTGGAAGGTATATGTGGATGTGGGAGGTGTGGACTGTGAAGAGTCTTTTGACAAACTTCTAAGAAATGGATTTATGTCCCTTTATCAGCTAAAAACTTTATACGTAAGTACAATAATACATATGGTAACTGCAGTTTAGATTCTTTCATTTACCAAAGGATACTAGATTCAACACATATTAGAAATTTCAAAAAGCAATGATTCAAAAGAAGTTAGTTACACAAGGTCTCAAAGTTAAAGGAGATAATCATGTGATGTTTCAAAGACAGGATTCCAAGAATGTCTCTAGGTACCTCAGGGATATACCCAGAAGGCTGAAAGCTAAGATTGGAAGAATCTAGGTCATAATACAAATGACTCAGAACCAGTAATGAGAACCATGTTCAAAGGGGATTCTGTCTGGGGAACAGAAGGGTACATGATGTTGAGGTTAAGGAGTATTAGAATATTGATTAGATTTCGGCAAGACTCAGGAATTGAGAGGCTTGGTTGGATTATTAAAGCAAGCTTGGGGCATCGGTTTGGGATGATGAGGTACTTACTGTCTTTTATTCAGGTAAGGGGATTGACAGGATGAAATCAGAAGGTTTCTTCCTGCTCTTTACAATCTTTTATTAGAATGGATTCTGGGATCCAGTGTGGAAGATCTACAATACAGTGGGCAGTAAGACCTGAGTAAAATCAGGGTGTTGAGTAGGTTTAAATAAAAGGATTGGATGACAATGAATTATTTGCCATACTGGACCTGCTGAATCTGATCTGGCTAATAGGGGTGAAGTGAAATAGATACATACTGAAGTGTAAGATAAGAGGAAAAATGTTGAGAAACAAATAGGCAACAGACTGCTGAAGCACATAGACTAGATGAAAAACTAACACTGCATGCATGTTTATGATTCAGAAATCCACCCACTAAAGAGCCAATTATTGTAACCAGCAACAGTTAAGAAACTAACTGCTTTGGTCAATGCCAGGCTCTATTAAATGAGAATAAGAAGATGTATGTGTCATATATTAATAAATAGGAGTCAAGCTGATTACAGATCTTTGCTGCATATCGATGGGATCTAGTGATCTTTGTCACATAGTGCTTCTGCAGTAATGAATGACGCATTGTAAGCCCACTCCCATCTCAGTCTCTCTGGCCAGGTGCTCATAGCTTTCTCAACAGGTTTTCTGTATTTCTGAATTTGCTATGTTCAGCCTAAATAGAAATTTCTTTTCTTATGCCAATTTAGGGACCAGAGAGCTAAATCCATTCCAAAAATGCTAATATTTGTTAATGAAAGAAAATATATTTTCTCCCTAGAACCTAAAATCTGCCACATTGATGGTAAATTTGAAAACTTTCCTCTCTATAACTCATCTATGCTAACACCTTACGACAGTTCTGATTTCTATGATAAATCCTATCTGATACAATATGACTCAATGCTGATTTCAAAGCAGAGGGTGGAAGAGAAGACGGGGGCTTGGCTCCTGTTTTCTCCCACTTTCATAGGTTCAGTGCTTTTTGGACCTTACTGTGTAAAGGCTCCAGGGTGTGTTACTTTTTTTCTGTACTCTGCTGTTATATACACTCGTTCTCAGAAAAACTGAAAGCAAACATAGGGGGCATTTCTGCTATGGCTTTATATGTTTTCTTAGTTCTACTGTTCCAAAGTCTGCTCTCTAAAAATCCCTCTCTGTGCAAAAGCATTTGCATCTCTATCAAAGCACACCCCCCCTTTACAAATACCAAGTTGTATATAGTTTACATTACTAACCTCTCTGCCACTGACTGGGCCTCCCTCATACCACATACATCTTGCTGGAGCTGCCAGGTTCTCACCACATTTAACTCTTAACTTGTCACTTTGCTACCTTAGTCCTATTCATTAGTTTAATAGTTTCATTAAGACTCTAACAGCTTATTTCAAACCAGGGAGTCTCACAGTTTTAAGACTTTACATTATTAAAGATAGATTGTAGTGATTAGTGACACAGGGAAAATTGTAATATCAAATTTATTTACATATTTCTAATCCTGAGGAAAATGGTAAGAAGCTGGTTGTTCATTTCAGAAGCTAGAATTTTTTAACCTTAAATCCTTTTATAAGACACAAGGAACATAAGTTGTAGTCCTAATGCTAGTTTTATTTTGCTGTGTGGCTCCAGGAAAATGACCTGTTCCAGGCCTCAGTTTCTTCATCAACAAAATGAAGGGTATGGAAGAAGGAGGGGTTTTTTGGCCCTTTCTTGTCCAGATGCTCTAAATTTTATGCTGGATTTGTTGGCTGCATATCTTAGTCTCAAATTCTTTCATGAATAATTAGTCTCTTTTCCTTTAGGTCCTTCCTCACCACTCAACTCTTCAAATTCGAGTAAACACCTCCAAGTCCAGGTCTCTCAGATCACTATCTAAACTATATTTCACATCTAGAGAAACCTATAAACAGAACACAAAGAGACAAAATGTATAGAATGGTAAAATCAAGTCTCAGTATATGTTTAAGGCAAAGAGAACAAGACTACTACCTCACTGTGGATAAACTCCTAGCCTATGCCTTATTTGTATTTATGTATGCAGCTGACTTCTCGGGCGCATGATTTAACACCTGGTATACTGAAATTCACGTGATAACACATCATATCACATTACATTCTGTGAGGCTTTAACATGCACAGAAAAGCAACAATACTGTAGTTTACATTTTAAAATAGATTTTCTGTTCAAGAGTTCAATGTCTGTTTTCTATTCATCCAATTTGGTTTGGAGCATGCAGAGGTGAGTGATAATTATAATTAAATATGTGTGCAGGAGTATCCTATAAACCATTACCCTAGATCCTATCAGTGCCTACTGGCTAACCAGACATGCTCACAGCGTTCTCACGTTTGACAAAATTCCCATCTGCTACGCATACGTATACATGTGCACACATACCCAAGGCATGGATCCTGAGATTCTAAATCATTGCTCTGACTCAATTTAAGGGGGGTGGGGTGGGTGGGTTATGCCGTGTCAGCTTGCGCCATTTCCACCCAGGGCAAGGTGATATGATGAAATCTGAACGATGCACAGCCCAGAATTGGGAGCCAATAGCAGACTAGCCCCACACTGACAGGGTGCCCGCTGGGCAGCAGACTGGCCTCAGCACGGGCTCTTCCTCCATCCTCAGCTTGGGTGGTTAAGCTGCGTTATGAGGGGCCTTAGGGAAGCACCAATGCATTTAAAGGTCAATAGGCTGAACATTAAACACGTTAAATTGACATTTGGCTTTGAACGGATCATTTTAAAGTACTATCTTGATTTATAAATTTCCAATATGGATAATTTTCTACAAAAGCTGATTCATTTAAATCTTATTTAAAGGGTTTTCATTTTATTTTACCCACGCGCTTGCGCGCGCACACACACACACGCACGCACACACACACACAACTGCACAGGATGGCTGGAATGAATGGCAATCTGTGCATTGCATAGAAGGAATTCTGGGGTCTGTAAGAGCTAATCTCTGTGGCTTACCTTGAGGAAAGGGTTTATCCATGCTGAGAATAGCAGAACTAACGCTTCATCTGGCTCAAAGAACCTCTTCTGAATCCTTAGGTTTCTCCAGCTCTTTTCGGAAAGTCTGAATGAAAACTGGCAGCGAAGCCAGAAACAGATAGTTCTGTCTTGGTCCTTCCGACACAGCAGAAAAAAACAGAAGCAGAAAAAAAGAAAAAAACCGAAAACATAACAACAACAGCAAAAAAAAAAAAAAAAAAAAAGGAGGTGGTGATGGGAGGATCAGACCTGTAGTAGCAGATACTTTGTATAGATTTTACATGGAGCTCTAAATCTTGATGCACGCATTCCCCAAAGAAAGCTCAGCAGGGTAAGTTGTTCACCTCCTCCTCTTTCTCCTCCTCCTCTCCGTTCTCCTCCTCCTTCTCCTCTTTCTCCTCCCCCTCCTCCTCCGCCTCTTTCTCCTCCCCCTTCTCCTCCTCCTCCTGTTTCTTTCCCCCTCCTCCTCCAATATTTTCCTTCCCCTCCTCTCCCCCTCCCCCTTCCCTCCTCCCCTTCCCTCCTCCTTACCTCCTCCTCCGAATTCTCTTTTGCCCCCGCCTCCACCTCTGCCTCTGTCTCTTCCAATCTGTCAGAAGAACAGAAGCAGCAGAAACTGCAGTTGTAGACGCAGGATATCTCAACGGAGCAATACCGCTAGTGTGTGATTATTTATATAGCTCAGGGTATGTCGGTATATAATCTGCAAGGGGAGGCGGATGAGGTAGCACTGCGTTCAGTTTAGCTAGCTGGCTGTTTTGTGAATGTAAACGATTTCTGGAGGTCTTGTGAATGGGTTATTGGGGACGATGGGAAGGAATTTATTCCTCCTTGTTAATTCTTTCTCTCCCCCTCTCTGTGTCGTTTGTTTTCCCGGAGCTGTAGCTCTTAAAGCTTGGCTAAGTGGCGTCATCCAGTTGAAATGGAATCGACCCATTAGAACTCCCCATAGGAATCTCTGTATCCGGTCCCTGGGTAATGACTGAAACAAAATTTAAAGGGGAGTGGGGGTAGGACAGAGAGTAACAATTTTAAGGAGGCCTTATTTAAATATCTCTGCCAATCACATTCTTACCAAGCCACTCAGCCCTTGCTGAGTGATTGCAGCTTCAGTCAGATAGAGGGGCTTTTCATTTGTTTAAGGGTTCCTCACAGCTTTTTTTTCATTCATTTCCACTTTTTCTGCATTAATGATTGTCCATCCATCATGCACTAGGAAAACATTATCCAACCTACATTCCCTATCTTCTTTAAGTATGTCATACACTCTACAACAAATATTTTTTGAGTGCCTGCCTTCCTTTGTGCTAAGTGTGTGGATTTCTGCCTTCATAGAGCCTCCCTGGGACTGCCAGGGTTCTGAAAATAAAGCAGCCTTAATTTACTTTCATAGGGAAGAACAAAGCTTTCTGTAAATTACCTTCAGCCCACTATTTAATTCAATAGGAAGGGGGTATTCCTTCTGGGCATCCAGATCGAACCAGCTTGAATAAAAGCAAGACTCACATTTAAAATAAATGAGATCTGATTTCAAGTCCTGTTTCAATGGATACAGGGCAGGAGCTTGGCTGTCAACATTCTTAAGATGCTTTGGTTACCCCATCTATAAAATTGTGATGGTAATGGTGACAATTAAGACTAAAACAAATTTGAGTCCAGAAACTAAGATTCTTAGTCTTCCTCTCTTTGGGTGACTTTTGCAATTTACTCCCCCTCTAGAACCTTGCTTTCTACATCAGTAAGAGGGGATCTGATTAGGTAAGTGCTTAGGTCCCTTCCAGCTCTGACATTCTATTATTTATACCCTCTTGGGGGCATTAAGAAGACAAAAGAAAGTATGAGATTTAAAAAATATATGATTGTGTGCACTGTGTTGAAGGTACCCCCAAATCCCATTGCCACGAATGTATATGTATAATACATACATATATAATTTCTTTTTAATTAGTATATGTTTGCAATACATAATAATTGCATTCATCTTGGGGAATTGGTACATATATATATATATCTGAATCTTTAAATTTTTTTATGTGGTACTGGGGATCAAACTCGGGTCCTTGTGCTTGCCAGGCCAGGAGGCTGAATCACTGAGCTGAACCCCCAGCCCATGAATCTTGATCATATTTACTTCCTGTTCCCTCACCCACCCCTCTCCCACTTTCCCAGATCCCCATAATTTCTAAGCAAATTTGTATCTACTTTGCCAATCAAAATTTTCAGTATTTTTTCTATGTAAATTCTTTTCTTTTGTGGCTCAAGTGTCTTCCTTATACTTGAATTTTTTGAGATCTTGAAAACCTTAGGTTCATCTGCAAAAGAGGACAGATTATTGATTGATGGGGGGGGGTACTGGGGATTGAGCCCAGAGCCTTTGCACTGAGCTACATCCCTAGCCCACTTTTTTTATTCTTATGTTTTATTTTGAGAGAAAATTTCACTAAGTTGACCAGGCTGGGCTTGAACTTGACATCCTCCTGCCTCCATCTCCAGAGTCCTGGGATTTTTTATGTGTACTACCATGCTCTGCTTTTTTATGTATTTTTTAACAAATATTTATTGCATATCAACTATGTGTCAAGCACTGCACTACTAACTAGATCATGGTTCACATTTTCTGCTCCACAACTTAGGAACTGACTTTGGCATTTCAATTCACCTTTCTGAGACTGTTTCTTCATCTTTAAAATGAAGGTAACAATAATAGCTACATCACAGGATTGTGCTGTTGTCCTGTAGATTGAATAAGTTCTTGCATTTAACCATTTTATCATGTATCTGGCATATGGCAAGCACTCAATAAGTAGTAACTTGAACGTTAAGGAATTATCCTTGCCCTAATGTAGCCCACAAGAGAGACAAGAAATTATTTCAATTTAAAGTTCTTTCAGTTTTTCAAAGCACAGCCTTAAATTTGAACAAGTAGGTTGCTCAATTCCTTTCCCTCCTTTACTCTGTAGGGCTGGCTATATTAAGGTAAAAATGAAAACAACTCTCTTAATTCTACCTTTTCGCCTCTTAGGATGATGCCCATGACAAAAAATAAGTATGTTGATATTCATTCAAGAATTCCTACCATGGGCTGAGTGCCTTCATTGACTAAGTGCTGGTAATTCAACAACTAAGTCTCATGCACTACAGGAGTTGACATCCAATTGAGTAGGGAGACATATTTTTTCTATGCCAGATACTGTTGTATGCATTTTATGTTTTTCTATTTAATACTCACAACATCCATATGAGGTATATTTATAAATTGTAGTGACTTTACAAATGAGAAACAAAAGTCCAGCAAAATTAAGTAACTTGCCCAAGATTTTACAGCTGGTGGGTTGGAAATTGGTTATTTAATTTAGGCCAACTCATTCTAGAGTTTGCACTCTTGTTATAGCAAAACATTTATTGGTACATTTTAGGCATACATAACGATAATAACACTTATCACAGGGAATTTGCACCTGGACATGATACATCCCACTGAGCTCGCACTCTTAACCACTACACCATAGTATTCGACCATCTGCAAATCCCTTCCATGAGTTTTGCTGTAACTCTTCTAGACTATTGGGTGTCTGCTGTGGTTGTAATATTTCTTTCTCCCCAAAATGTCTATATTGAAAACTAATCACAAATGTGATAGAGTTAGGAGGTGAGGCCTTTGGCAATTGATAAAACCACAAGGTTAAGCCCTCATGAATGAAGTTAGTGCCCTTATATCAGAGACCCTAGAGAGCTGCTTTACCCCTTTCATCATGTAAACACTCAAAAAGAAGGCACCATCTATAAGTCAGGAAGCAGAACCTTACCAGACATCAACAGTATCTTGATCGTGGACATTCCAGCCTCCAGAACTATGAGAAATAAATTATGTTGTTTATAGGTTACCTAGTCTAAGGTATTTCATTGTAGCAATCCAAACAGACTAAGATGGTGTCCCTGGATAGTCTATATTATTGTATACTCCTTTATTTTGAATGTCTTGTTCAGGCTTCCTGAAATGCCTTCCTAAACTATATTCTTTAGATCTAGACCTAAAAGTCACTCACTATAGGAAAAACCTTACATAATTAATGACTTGTCTCCAAAAGATCAGTTTAGGGTTCTGTTCTGATCTTTGTGTTTCAGTTGCCTCCTTATACTTAGCACTATCACAGCACTTATCACCCTTTATTATAATTATCTATTCCCTTTCTAGACAGTGATTTCTTCTAGGACAGATACAATGTTTATCATATTTGTCATCTCTGCTGTATCTCTAGGACCTGATATATATTGTTCACTCAGTTAATGTTTATTGAATGAATAGCTGACTCTTGGAAATCTACATAGATATATTTATTTGAACTGTACTTTAAGTGATTGTGTTTCCTAAATACTATTTGTAGTTTCATGGTTTTTGATAGACTATTGCAATATTATAATTACATATAGAAATTTGATGTCGAAACATACAAAATTCACTGTGTGTTACCGGACATCTTCCTTTTGAAACTCATTACTGTAACAGTTCATTTTGGAAATATGTTTTCTTAGCTCATTAGTTGATGGTGTGCTTTTCAGAAAACACAGTTTGAGAGAGTCATTGAGCTGTCCAAATTCATACCACTAGTTAATGACAGTGTGGGGACTAGAAGCAAATACAGGTCTCCTATCTCTAAATCCAGTACCTTCTTTCTCTCTATAAAACACTTTGGTGACATTAATCTAATTCCAATTGAATTTAGAGATATTGTCACTCTCAGATCAACTCCTGTGTTTTTGCAATCCGGTGATTTCCAAAAGAAAAAAAAGTAACCTTTAAGGACACCAATAAAATCTCTCTACCCTTGAAATATATTCCTACCTTCTCCGTTTTAGAAATCTCTAAGTTATGGTTTTACAATGAATTAAACATGTGTTTCTATACTTTATAGCAATTGATTCTTCAGATCATTTCTGATATGACAGTTAAGTCATAAAGCTTTTGAAACAAGGGAGAGTATATCTAATAGTATACTAAATAAAGAAGATAGGACATGAGTGAAAGCATTGTATGACCTACAAATGTAGAAGTGAATTAGGTAGTCGAGAAAGGGTTCAGAGAGGAATTAGGACCTAAGCAGAAAGTGAATGAGCATATATAATTCATGTGAAGGGTACATGTGGAAAGTTAGATTGGTAGCAATGTACATGGAGTCTGAGAAGAGTGAAACATTCAAACTGTCTTGTGAAGAGGTATACTGAAGAAAGGAATGGAATGTGTAGTGTTGGAAAATAACTTCAGTGGCAGGCAGAGCTATTTTGACTGAATACTACAGAATTTGGGAATAAACTTTTGAATAAAGGGATAAGATGTTAAAATAAAACACATTTAAAAAAGAAACGCTGGGCATAATGTATTGGAGGGGGAGATACTCAAGTCAAGTCAGCCAATTTAAAGTATTTTGGAGTAGTCTAAATAGGATATAATTAGGGCTGGGCTAAGGAACTGACAATGAGAATGGAAAGTAAGGATGAGATGTTTTCTGTTGCATGTGGCAATGGCATCACATGTGGCAATGACAATGATGGTGAAGGTCAGTTTACAGGAATATATATATTAGGGTTGAA